CCCCCCCCCCCCCCTTCCCTCAGGCCCCTCATGGCGGCCGTGAGGGGGAAACTGCCCCCGAGGGCCCCATTTCCACCCCAAAACACCCTCTGCCCTCGCCCCAAGGGCCTCCTTTCCACCCCTTGGATTCTTCCTTTCCCCTTGGATTTTGTGAGCTTTGTGCCGCTGGCGGAACAAAAACGCGGTTCTGAGTACAAATAGGAAAAGAAAAAGCCCAAACACTGAAAATCCGAAAACACAAGGCCTGATCCCAAAGTGGTTTTCAGGGTCATGGGTGAGGAAGGGCAGGTTCAGCTGGGCTTTTGGTATAAATGCCCTTGGTGAAAATAGGGAGTAATTCATCGTGGAATTCCTCATGTTCTGCAGTTCAAGCCCTGAAGCAAGAGGAGTCTAAAGCATGGGTTTTCAGCCAGCTTTTGCTGCAGTGTATTTCCTAATATCCCCCAAATTGCCCTGCTTTCCCAGGGAAATGTGGCACGTGCAGGCTACCAGGCAAATCTTCCTTTTTCTCACCTCCATCCCTACAGCAGCCATTGCCCAATTCCGGGTTAATTCAACCCAGCCACAGTCCCGAAGGGATTTGGGTTGATTTTTGTGACCCCCGCTAAGTCAGGGGAGTGACGGTCCAGGGCTCCCACAGGTCAGACTTTCACAAAAGGGGTTTTTTTGTGTGTTAAAATATTGACCAAAAACTACTAGAACTATCCTTTGCCATTCTCACATATTCCGTGATGATGAGTTAGCCTTCTCCCCTCGCTTTATTCCCCCTCAAATGAAATTAATTTAAAAAAAACTGTTGGAGTCGGAGTTTGATTTCCTGGGGAACACTCTTCTGGCTTTAAACTTTAAAATTACAGTTCTTAGTGTGCTTCGGTTTCTGCTTTCAGTGTGTCTCATATAAAAAATAATAAAAAAAAATCCCCAAAAATAGCCAAGGAAAGCCTTTCCTCCTTCTTCAGATTTAACTGGCACAAATGAGGGAGAATCCAAAAATAAGTGTTCAGCCACAGCAGCAAAACAGCAGAAAACCGCAGGACACATTAAAGCTGGGAACTCCTGGCACTGAGGGAAAGGATTGTGTTCTAGGAAAAAAATGACCCCAGAGTTCGAGTTCGTGTCGGAAAAGGAGCAGGTCTGTCCTGTAGGAGCGAAACAAGCTCATATGGGGTGTTTGAGGGCCATTCCCTTCTGGAGTAGAGTTAATTCAACTAAAAGAATCCTCGTGATGACCGAGGAGCAGCCAGCCAGGGCTGATTTCTCCTGGCCTTTTGTGGAGCCACATCCTTGTCCCTGGGGATGTGCCTGCCCTGGGAATGTGGGGGACACGCAGGAATCACGTTTAATTAGGAATGTGAGGCTGGATCCTAACGTGTCTCCGCAGCAAGTGCCTTCCCAAATCCATTTCAGAATCACATTTGTGTCTCTCGGCTCCGTCACCGCGATGACTCATAATTATTCTGCATAAAAGTGGTGTTTCTTCTACGCTCCGTGTTTCCAGTCAGCTCCCCTGTCACAGCAAAAACTTATTGGTACAGACAGGAGTGACTCGGGTAATTTGCGTTTCTGAAAAGCGAGAACATCATTGTCTTCAGCCTGTCCTTTCATCAGCGTCACCGCTGGAGGATCCACACCGCAAAGCCGTGGGATCAGCCTTGCAAATTCAAGTCTTGCCCTATTTTGTGCAGGGAGTTATGGATGCGTTTAAGAACGTAACTGAGCTCTGACTTTTCAATGCCCAATATTGGGGTTGTTACACCTCCCCTGCGCACCCATCCCGTTCCCCCACTGCAGCTGGTGTGGCTCTGAACCCTGCTGGTGTGAAATGCTGGGTTGGTTTGGG